CTATTTCGGTAGTAGCTGTACTGGGTCGGTTTACCCATTCTGCGCAGCAGCATCACTGCCTCATCCTTCATCCGTTTGATTTGTTCACGGAATCGGCGCATTGATTGCTTAGGTAACTGCAGCAATTCTCTACACACGTAGTAGCTTTCAAACGGCAAACAAAGGGATCTCGCCAAAATTTCGTGGATGCTTTCGAACAAGATTATTTCCTGACCGGGTGGCAGCAGGACTGCGCCATCCCCGGCCGGCCCCCTCTCCACAACCGGGTAGACGCCACCGGGAAGGCCTCCGTACCTTCCCTCAGGTCCGAAGCGACCTTCAGGTCCGTACCTTCCCTCAGGTCCGAAGCGACCTTCAGCTCCGAAACGTCCTTCAAGTCCGTAACGGCCGTCAAGACCGGGACCAAGACCGCCAGGACCAATAACTCCGGGACCAACACCGTTGTAGCGACCGCCGGTGCCGCCATAGTAAGGACTCCAACATGCCCGAAGGTCTCGTTCGAAGTTGTCGTGACCCAAGTAAAGTTTTGCTTCGGCCACCACCGGCTCTTCTCTGAGTACATCTGGGAGCATGTGAGCATGGTACTGTCTATAGACATCATGACTCTGTTCCAGAGCGCGTCCTATTTCGATAGTCTGCTGGTTCGTCAGTTCCTTCACCCCGTTTTCCTCCAACACACTGCTCGCAGCTTCACTCAAACCTTGCTGCACCCCCCACAACCTCCAGTATTTGGTTACATCCACTAACGGCAATACCACTGGACGACCATATGTGAAGGTGCTCGGCCGACCTGCACTCGGTTCTGCTCCGGGCCGAAGAGCCTCCGCGTCCGGCCGTCCTACCACTCGCCCCCGATCAAGCCCCGTTCGATCCAGACCCACCCCCTGTCCCGGCCGGTCCAGACCCACCCCCTGTCCCGGCCGGTCCAGACCCACCCGGTCCACCCCCTGTCCCGGCCGGTCCAGACCCCGGGCGGCGTTGAAGAGGTTGCCGGGGTCCCGTGGCACTTGTGCGTCGGCCGGTCGATTCTCGCTCGGTTCTCGCAGACCCGCGGCGCCTCCGAAGTCCTCCCCCAGACCTACCGTCAACAGGAGCGCCGGCCACAGCGTCCACATTTCTGTTTTCCTGGGACAAGCAAGAAGACCAGGTCTGGTGGTCGCCTCGCAAGCACCGTCCTGCTCAACTTGCCGGCTGTACGATGCCTGGCTAGTCTGCTTACGACTAGTCAATTAACACAAGCATTATCCGGATGGCCTTTTTCGATCGACTTTTTGTCACAACTCCGAGCTGTGATGATTGGGCACGAAACAGGTTGGTTTCGCACAAGGTCTGGCTGGGTGTGGTAACAATCTTTGGGTGTAGTACTAAACCCCGGGGGTGGTGAGGGCGTGAGCTGCCGTGCACGAGCCCTTTGTGTGGTGGAACTTTGAGGCGGCCGAGGGATCTGTCCAAGAAACTAGCCCCCATGATGCCGCCAGCTCCAAGGCCGGTGGGTTGTGCTGGTTTCAACGTAGGGGGACTCCACTGGTTTAATAGAGCACAAATGAATAATCTCGCGGGCGTTGTGGATGTGAGAATAGACCTTTATCCAGATACGCCATTTGAGACGTTGGCGGAAACGCATACCCATTTAAGTTGTGATGCGAACACGGTTCTTACTATTATATCGGAGGTAGGACAGAGCACACGGACTTGAGACATATAGGACTTGTACGTCGAGCGGTCTGTACGTCGAGCGGTCTGTACGTCGAGCTGTCTGTACGACGACCGGTTTGTACGACGAGCGGTCTGTACGAGGGTCTGCAGCTACGGTCTGCAGCTACGGTCTGCAGCTACGGTCTGCAGCTACGGTCTGCAGCTACAAATAGCCGGATAGAAGAACGATACGGGCTGGCAGGCCCGAGCGAGCTTGACGCACGGTTTCGCTTTTTTGCTGCATGGACTTATGTTGCAGGTGACCTGGAATCCTAGGAAGGCTCAGGAGGTTATTGAACCTGGGGACGTGAAATTGAGGGACAGACAAATCCGAGATGAGAATGATAGTCCGGGTGTTCTGAGGCGTTACATGCTCAGCCTACTAACATCCGGGTTGCGCCTCGCCGTAGCGGAACGAGTTTACGACCAAGTGCGAGCAATAGTGGCGCAGTATGCTGGTCCCAAAGAGTCGTCTCGATTCAAGACTCTCCTTGCCTCCCGGATGCTGCAGGTCTTCATTGACGAACCTAGCCCTGACCCTCGTCGTTCTAACGACCCTAGGTGTAGTGGTCCTAACGACCCTGCCGACGGGAGGGCGAAGGTTGAAGAGGAGGTGCAAAAGGCGGAAGGAACAAGTAAAAAGGGACGGTTGAAGGACTTGCCCCGGTATGTGGAAGGCCGCTTTCACGACGAGGGGCTCACATACATCGACCCTTCGGTACTGAGCCAGCCGGCGCGAACTCAGCGACTATTGGCGCTGTACCCCTTGGACATCGCCGATCGGTATGACGGTCGGAGGAGTGCCCGAGACCGTCTGGACTGGAGCTTATTTCTGCACACGGACTCGGAGGAGGAGGACGACCACATGCTTGGGGACGTAGAGCTCATAGATTCCGAGAGAATACGGTCAGTGAATAGGGAGGCTCTCCCTCTTCTGAGGGCAATCGAACCGGGGGACGCGAGGCTTCCAGCTGCGGTGGAGAAGCGGTGGGAGCCCGAAGCGAAAAGGGCCCGGAGAGATGTGGTGGTAGCGCCATGCGACCGCAGCTTAATAGAGCGCGATGGCAGCTGGGTCTCGCGACGCGACGATAAGGCAGCCAAGCGCAGGGATCGGCGAGTGGCCGATCTCCAACGATTGGTGGACGAGCCTTTCGAACCCAAATGCACGCGCCGCATCACCCCGAAACATGTGCACTGGATGAGCGTCTCATTCGCGCACTCCCTGCCACTCATCACCGGCGACTCCGCCTTGATCCGGGCACTGAAGCAACAACGCATCCACCTAGACAATATCAAGGTTGCCTTCACACACCCTCCGCGCAGCCTGGTCGGACTTTGAACACTTGTGCCTCATCGGACTATGCCTCGTCGGACTATGCCTCGTCAGACTATGCCTCGTCAGACTATGCCTCGTCAGACTATGCCTGGTCAAACTATGTCTCGTCGGGTCGCGTTGAAATGCACACACCGGTGCATTGCACACACCGATGGAATGCACCCGCTCTTCCACGAGCAGCGCATCTTATCCGTAATCGCATTGCGTTGGTTCCCAGCATGCGTTGGTTCCACTATTTGCGTCGTGTTTGAAGGCCGCTCAGGTTGCATGTAGTCTGAGTGTTGGTTGCTTTGGTCCGTTCTGATCTTATTCTTGAGTGGGCAAAAATAAATGGTACGGGGGGTGTTCCAATTTAGTGTGGAGCACTTTGCTGACTCTGACGGTGTTCATGTGAACCTGTCCTCTCGAAGTATCCGGTCAAAAGCGAAATGGGTCAGCGAGGCCCGGCGGCATTTAGGGATACCGCTCGTATATTCATCTCGATACAAATGTTCGGAAGGCGTCATCAGTTGTACTGCTCCACCACCTGTAGGACGCCGTGCGAGTTCGGCTATGCCCAAACAGGGCTGCAGGAAATCAAAGGTTCATTCGGACGACCGCATTGTTTCCGAACTCAGCACCGGGCTGCCGATGGTTGGACGAACATGTGAAGAAGTACAAGTCCGGGAGTTGGAACAACGACGGGAGTTGGGACAACGATGCATGTTGGAACAGCAGCTACGGGAGTTGGAACCACTACGGGAGTTGGAACCGCTGCGAGACTCCACGGAAAGATCTGAAGGCCCGTTTCGTCGGAACAAAATGTATCGTACTAGGGAATGCCCGAACGATGCTTGTCCCAGGGACATCTCGATCCATGCTAGCCCGATCCACGCTGGTCCGAGCCACGCTGACCCCATCCACGTTGACGCCATCGACGCTGGCTTGATCGATGTTCGCCGAAATCGTAATGACGAGGACTACGACCGCGAGGACGACCACCACCGCGTGGAACGTTACGTGGATCGGGGTCTTTGGCGACAGGGGAACTGGCCGGAACCGCCTCCTAGTAAACACCCATCGGGGCCGCGAGACACCGCTGCGCATTCCGACGGCAGCAACTCCGTCATCTTCGTCTCCGAGAGCCGGAGTGGTAGTGCTTCTAGCGTTGAAGACTCTGGGTCTCCGGTACCGGAACCCGATCGCCAACAATCCTCGCTCTCCGATTCCTGCAATCCACACCCCCCTGCCAGCGCTCTTTCCAGGGCATTCAGCCTTCCGTTAAAGTCCTCGAAACATGGCCATCAAACTCAGAATATGGTCGCCCCGAAGGTTGTTGGACTGAACGTTATCGGAACGGACTTGGTCGGAACGGACGTGGTGGGAACGAACAGCAGTGGGACGGACGGCAGTGGGATGGATATCAGGGGGGCGGAGAACAGCAGACCATATAACAGCGGGTCGGAGAACAGGTGGTCGGAGAAGGTGGTTGTACCGGATGCCGTGGGTCAGGACAGCATTGGACGGCGCGAAATCGACCTTGAGGCGCCGGACCGAGCGGGCCTGAGGGAACCTGAGCCCTTAGAAGAGGAAGAGCGGCAGCGTCGGCAGAGGCGAGCGGACAGGCGAAGAGGACAGGTAGTGGAGAAAGCAGAGACCCCGGAACAAAGACGGAAATCGAGAACCCCCAAGAGGACTCCGTTGAGGAGTCGCACGCCCAGTGACGCAGGACGACGGCCACAGGTCCCGGGAGAAGCAGCGGCTGAGGTTGGCAAACGAAGCGCAGAGGCCGAGCCAAGCCCAAAACGGGGTCGGGACTCTCCACCGGGGACCTCTTCTCCGAGAACCTCTTTGCCGGTGGATGTGAGAGTGGAGCCGCTGTGTGAGTCAGAGGCGGTCGCAGGTGTGCCGGACAGGAAGTCTCGGAAGCTCCTGCACCAGTCAGATGATCACCAGTCAGATGATCACCAGTCAGATGATCACCAGTCAGATTATAACCAATCAAACGATAACCACCCCGGCGGTCAATCGATTGTTCGGCAGCAGGTTTCGCAAAGGAGGGTTATTCCGAGTGTCGAACAGGCGGCGAGTATTGAAAAAGTCGTAGGTGCCGGACCCGATCTGGTAGAAGATGTGTCGGCGGAGAGACAGTTGCCAGGGCCTAAGCGCCAGTCGTTAGGCAGCGGGGTTCGTGAGCGGGAATCGTTTTTTCTGGAGGCTGAATCTGAGACGGACATGTATTCAGACGATTCGGGCCACGTGGCGGAGCGTGGTGATGCAGTGGAGAGGAGGAGAGGACCGGTGGCGAAGCAAAAGCCGAAGGACCGATTGATTCCGGTGGTGTTGATTGATCCGGACGAGGAGGGGTCAGAGGCAGTCGCGGCGCTGCCCGTCGGTAAAAAGCGCGCTCTGACCGAGGCCAAAGGCCAAATGCCGAAGAAGCGGAGACAGGCTGTGACGCGGATCGGAGATCCGTCTTGCGGTGGTACAGCGAAGTCCGGTGTTGTGAAGCCGTTAGTGAAGGACTTGGCCACGCCCGAGCTGAGGCCGAGCCGCGTGACGACGATGGACATGGCGACGATGGAGGGGACCCTGGCGCTAGCGGAGGGAAGGATGGCGGACGGTACCATGGCAGCGACGTTTGACGCCAGGGCCTTTGCGGGGGTTTTAGCTGGTATGCCATCGCTGACTGGCGTGTCTGCGATGTCGGGAGGAATGCATTATCTACGGGACGTCGAGAAGTGGCCAGATTTTGGATTGGATTACGGACGGCCGTACGTGAATCCGGCTTTGCCGGGTCGGCGATCATCGGACCTGGGTAGTGCTCCGACGACGTGGTTCCGGATGTTGGTGCCGTACGCTATTCTGTCGGTGCCGGGTGGGTGTATGCCAAAGGATGCGATTACAGAGACGTTTCTGGCACTGGCACGGAAGCATGAGGGGAGTGTGTGGTGCTTGATTCGGCGTCAACGCGTGTCCTGGGCCACGTTTGCACAGGTTTGGTTGTTGCATGCGAACACGGCGGGTTTCTTTACCGTGTTGCACAACCTGAGTGCGACCGTGTTAAAGAACTTGCTCAAACGCCGGGAACGTCCTCCTGTCATGCGGGATCGGTCCAAGGTGTTGTTGCCTTGTTGTGTTAACTGCGGTTCCTTCGTCATTGTAGATACCGGCTCTGGGGTTCACGGGCATAACGGTCTCAGTCAGATGGATGGGCTCGATGGTGGTGTGCCAGGTATGTCGCACGAGCCGGCACTGTGCATTTTGTGTCAGACAGAATACCCGGAGGCGACACCGTTGGGCGACATCGGGGGTGTGCCGAGTGTGCTGCAACCACCTCACACAGGGTACTCACCCTCTGAGGCGGACTTCGAAATTGCCGACCTCTGGATCCGCTCCGCGCGACAGAAACCCGGTCCCGTGCTGTCGCTGCTGTTCTCTGTCTTCGGAATGCTTCCCGCCGGCTGGCACCTCGTCCTCGACGCTGTCCGTGACAACCAACCCGTCTGCGGCGAATGTGGACTTGGCGTCATCCTAGGCTACCGGTGGGCGGACAGCTTCCGTTGCACCTGGTGCCTCGCCCGTAAGAAGACACACGTCCCAATCCTCAAGGGACCTGACGGCCTGGACACACACCTCATTCATGCCGCCAAGTACTACCTTGTCGCACAGACCAGCCCCCTCACTGAAGACCCACTAGTCGAAGATGAAGAACCATACCTTACACCCTCGTTACACCCCTCCGACAAAAGCTCAACCCTCACCGGACCTGGTACCATGCCTGGGACCATCGCCCCGGGCGCAGTGTCAGACGGAGCCGTGGACATGGCCGGTGAGGAAGTTGGCTTCGGGTTCGCCCTGCAGCTTCCTAACACCGACCTGTCTACAGACCTCGCGATGGGAGACCTCGCGCTCGCCTCCCCGTATTCGCCCAACGAGGAGGTTCGCTTTCCGCCCTACCACTTCGCCTACCCGGCCGGCGGGAACACACTCAGTCACCACCCGTTCGTCCCCAAAGCAGCCACACCGGCTTCCCTAACCGCCGCGTCCTGTGCCCTAGCCCTCCCGGCCGGCGGGAACACACTCAGTCACCACCCGTTCGTCCCCAAAGCAGCCACACCGGCTTCCCTAACCGCCGCGTCCTGTGCCCTAGCCCTACCGGCTTCCGCCCCAGCTGTGCCAGGCACCACTCCGGATCTGCCACACACCACCCCGACCGTGACAGGTACGGCAACCCCCCCGTCCAGCCACCGAGGCAACTGTCCCAAACTGCTCTCGCCCCACCCCAACAACGGCCCCGCGGTTGCGCTTACCGACGGGGTGCCAAAGGCCAAAGACGATGTGGACGGCGTGCGTTTCGTCGTACAGCCGAGTCCCACTACGCGCCCGGACTCACAGACGCAGACCCACCAGGCCACCCAGGCGGGGCTGCAAGCCGGGTCAGCGGTTGAGGGGCTCGAGGCTCAAGGCTCGTTGGCGGAGTCGGATGACTCGGACCTGGGGGTCAGCGAACTGCTGGCCCACGGCTACCCCGGAACGACCACTCAACTCAAGTCTCGACACCAACCTCTAGGGGCCGCCTTCCCTGATTCCACCGCGCCCACGGCTTCTACCGGCCGTTCGGTTCCAGCGCCCTCGTCGACCTCCGGGCCCTCGTCGACCTCCGAAGCCTCCTCGTACTCCGGCGTCTCCTCGGCCTCCGGGGCTTCCTCGACTTCATCCAGTTCAGGAGCCGCTGCCCCCTCCACCGCCTCAAGTGCCACAAGGGTCGTAGGGCTGGCTCCTCCAAGCCGCACATCATCTCGAGGGTCATCTCGCCCTTCTTCAGGACCTCCTTTAGGACCACAGGACGGTAGCGATGCTACGTGCCGTGGTTTTGAACCTTCCGCGAGGACTCCGCGAGGAGCACCGCAACGCGCCTCACGGCCGTCACCCTCCCCGCAGCGTCCTTCACCATCACCCCCCGCACCTGTCCGTAGCAAGGTTGCCACCACTACTACGGACAAAGCCCCCGCCCCCTCCACCACCACCGCCACGGACAACGAACCGCAGGTCAGCGTGGGTTCCGTTACGCCTCAGGTGACGGGCGCACGGCCGAGAGCAAGCCCGAGAAACGCTGCTGCGTCGCCAAAAGCAGCTGTGTCCCCGAAAGCGGCTGTGTCGCCGAAAGCGGCTGCGTCCCCTAAGACTGCCGCGTCGCCTAAACCCGCCGCGTCACCCCAAACCGGCGGGTCGACCAACAGGCCTTTGTCGCTGAGTTCATCGCCAAACGCACCGCCCAGGAACTCTTCTCAGGTCGCGCGACCGACCGACCCACCCGCGTCACGAACAGTCTCGCCATGCGTGGTCACACCCCCCATTTCCAGCGAGATGGAGCTCGACTGGCGCAATGACTCAGACTGAACACTCGCCCGTGAATGAAAGAATCTTTCGCCCGAGTGAATCAATGACTGAATGGTCCATTCAGACCGTGCGTGCACAGACGCGCGACCGAGACTGATCACTGAGACGGGTCACTCAGACCGATCGTCTGAACTGGTTCGTCGTTACGATCACCTGGGACTGGTTCCATGGGACTGGTCACTTCGGCTGATGCACTAAGCGAGTCTGACTAGGACGTTGGCGATGCCTTGGGCACGTCCATCTGTTCGTCGCCCAATTGCTTAACAAGACCTATCCGACCAAGGCATTCCGGAACATTAACCAGCGCCAGAGCTGGGAGACTGGCCAGTGTTGGACCTTAAGACCGCAGTTTGGCCTCAATACGAGACACGGGTCGGTACTCTCAAGGCCTCTCCGTACACCGATTTCGCGCGATATAGGTGTTCCTACAAGAGGAATGTCATGTTAGTTATATTAAGAGCCTCCAGCCGGGAGGGCATGGGGTAGGCCAAGGGGACAGAGGGCGGGTACGCCAATGGGAAACACAAGTGGCAAGCTAAGTGTGGTAAGCCAAGTACGAGTGACAACATACCTAAACCAATAGCGCTCCCAAATCCGGAGTGAAAAGGGACTTGGGTTGTACGCCAGCAGCTCAGGCGATCGAGCCTGGTAATTCTTGCTTATGAACTCGGAAGGGCACCCGTCGTCAGACGCCAAAAGCTTGAGGATACTTTTCCACGTGAATACTTGCCTTGTTGTAATCCGATCCTGGACGAAGGAGAATGAAAATAAGAGGAGCAAGTGAAGGGGGGAAGGGGGGAAGCAGTAAGTGAAGGGGGGAAGAGAAGTTCACCTTATGTGTATTGAAGACGAAATCTCCCCAGATCTTGGCGTAGAGATGTCCAGCGAGACAAAGAAGGAAGTCTTCAGAGAATTCAAATTTGTCTTCATTTTGGCTTAGTAGCTGCCAGACGCACTCGAGAAGTTGCAGTAGAATCGGAGAACTATGACCTTGGTTGCTGGTGGGAGCGTTGGTTATTCCGGAGGGTCCGGATTCCGTACTGAATCCGCGTTGCTGTGCATACTGCTTGGCGAATGTTATTTCCGGAACATATCCTATGCCGAGTCTCGTGTTCATCATGTGTCCTACCCAGCTAAATTCTTTTTCGATCAGCTGACAGAAGCCTCTCCGGGTCCTGCACGAGGCGTCCTTGAATATAAGAGAAAGGAATGTCAACTGGCCAGTCCTATCCCAGCCATCCGAGCAGTGGACTAGTACCGTCTCCTCGTTGCTTAATAAGTGCGCAATTTGGTAAGACGCATTCAGCAAAGCATGTATATGGTCGTACCATCGGCTTGCATATATTTTCGGCATAACCTCGCTTACCAACTTGGTAGACACGACACAACCAGTATGCTTCTGGATTTCGACTTCCTTGTCGAAATAACGGGCTACTGACGACTTTAAGTCATTCATACTACCATTAACTATGTGAATGTTCTCTATCGAGACGAAATCGATTGAACAACCCACGTATTCATTCGTTGACTCATATCCTGCGCCAGTTATTTTGTTTACAAACGCGTTTGCAAACGGGCGCGCGTCATAAATATGGATCCTCCGAGTCGCCAAAATAGGTGGAGGCTGCAAAATCGAATCAGCCGATGAATCTTTTTCGGTCTTAGGTACATCCCAAGTAATCTGACGAACATCCGCCGGCGGATTCAACGCCGTTATATTCAAATCCGTCTTGGGGAATATTGCGTCACTCGCAGCCGCGGCTGTTGGCCCGGTGCCAGGTCTGGACATGGTAGGTCCTGAAAGCCGAAGTGGATCCCATAGCCTGGGTGAAGGGCCATCTGCAGTTTCTGCGGCTTGAGTTGGGACCGGTTCAGGTGGAACCGCCGGTCTAGAAAGAACCGCCTGTCCTGAAAGAGCGGCGGGTCCAGAAAAACCCGCCGGTCCAGGGGCGACTTGAGAGGACACCTCTTCCAGTGGGTGTAGCCCCGCCCGAACCAACCATTCATCCCACTGGCAGCGTTTGCCAAGCATGGTGGTATGGGGTTGTGAGCATCTCCACATGGAAGCGCTGGGAGTACGGTAGCACAGAATAGGCAGTCTGCCCCTGGCTCTGAACCTGGCTATTTCCTGGATCTGACATTCATTCAGACTCAATCCTCCTAAAGGGATACCAGGAGGGTAGGAGTCACAGACTTTGTAGTAGCTGTTGCAAGTATTGAGTCCGCCCCACTTGTCATAGTAACTCGTTGGGTCAAAAACACCGAATATGACCGCGGGTTCCAAATATAGATCCCGTGCAGATTCATCCACAGTGCTTGTGTCCTGGGCAGCCCTACTGGCTGCCCGCTTAACGCTGGTTGCTTCCTCAACCCTGCACTGGTCGCTGGGACCGAACTCGTCGCTAGGGCCGAACTGGTCGTCGGGGAACTTTCCACCTACTACCTGGTTAGCAGTGAGTGGGTCGCCAGTGAGTGAGTCGCCAGTGAGTGGGTCGCCATTGAATGGGTCGCCATTGAATGGGTCGCCATTGAATGGGTCGCCAGTGACTCGTTGATTGTCTTGGGATGACCGACCTTTCTTCAGCTCAACAGCCGACTTTGACGGCTTAAATGTATGATGGTCGAAGTGTTGGTGGAAACTAACTAATGCATCTCTTGCATGCCGAATATCACTGCCATCAAATTGCAGCACTAACTCCTTGGTGCTGAGCAGAATGATGGTGAAAACTATGCCAATGACACTTTCAGAATTCACGGAGAGGGGATCCTGGTGGCAATCGGGCCTTGATCGCGACCTCGTGACTCTTTTGGTAAACTTCAAGTCAAGTGTGTGACCCCTTAAAATGGTCCACATGTTGGACTCCATCAAATACTTGAGCTCTTCATCGAACGTGGCCCCTTCTAAAGCAGTTAGCGTGTTATCTCTGGGCTCGTTCGCGGCAGGCATTGCAAGCGATGCGGCCGCAGGTAGTCCGGTCCGGCTGTCCCCGAACAGCGGATCGACCACAGATCTTTTGTTGGGAGCGCTCTCATCTGTGTCACGGATTCGGCAACCCCCGAAAATGGTAGAGGCCACCATTTTCTCCCCGTCTTCCTTTTCCTGTTGCTTCAGCAGCACGTCCGGCGTGGGCAGCACGTCGGCCATGGGCAGTACGTCGGGCGTGGGCAGTACGTCGGGCGTGGGCAGCTTGTCCGGCGAAGGCAGTGCGTCCAGCTGCTTTGGCGATATACCGCCGTCTTTCGACAGGTCTTTCTTAGCTTGAAGGGGGACAAACACAAGCCGCAGGTTGGACAAGTACACTTTACACAGAAGGCCTAGCGCTCCTTCTCGAACGAACAGTCGCCCGGTCCCAAGTAGGTCCAGCGCCATCTCCCCACGCCAGGGACTAGTAAGGCGATGGCCTCGATAGGGACAGGCCCGGTCAACCATCACATTCGCCTCTGGCATTTGCCTTAAGCATTGATTCCACTGCTGCTGCGAGATGTCGACGGGCTCAAACGCTCCTTCGACGGAGCCAGCTATCCGTTCTTGTAGCACCATGTCCACTGTATCCAACGGCCGTTCCGTACTTAGGTCCGTGATGGGTCGGTTTCCGCCCGTTTTGACGCCTGAAGACAGCCGATCAAAGGGGCTCCACGAAAAACCGGCGAGGGTCGTTTCCGCCAGACTCGACGCGCTCCCAGCGATGCCGCCTCCTTGCAATGCTGCTTGCATCGCTTCTTGAAGAACCCCAGAGGCTCCTTGGAGGACTCCAGAGGCTCCTTGTAGGACCCCCGAGGCTCCTTGAAGTCTGGTCTTGATCGACTGGAAGGACACGTCCGCAACTACAGTATCAATTAGCCATGCCAGCCTCTTACCCGCTTACTTTTCGGCAGAGCCGTGGAATGGTCACCAGGCGGCTGATTATCGCCTGCTCCCTCATTGTTGCCCATCCGCCGTTGGTCGCTTCCGCCGCCTCGTTGGTCGCTTCCGCCGCCTCGTTGGTCGCATCCGCTTCCCCGTTGGTCGCATCGGCTTCCTCGCTGGTCGCATCCGCCTCGTTGGTCACTCAGACGTTGGTCCGCGTTGGTACGTTGCGTATCACGGCGGTTATAATCATGGGTGTCTAGTAAGCTGAGAGGGTCGTTTGCGATGGGTAACTGTCTCATAAAAAAGCTAATTTATCTCTCCTTCTTCGAGCGAGTCGGCGGTGGCGGGTTGGGGCTGTAGACGCGCGTGTGTGCGGTGCGTTCGAATGGTGTTGGTTAGTTGATGAAGTTGTTCGCGTTTTGTTTTGATCTCGTCCTGGAGTCTCTTAGTATTATTAGCAAGTTCATTGGTACGTCTTGCATACCAGGGTGAGGGTTTAAGAGTCTTGCCAGTATGCAGGTGACGGGTGACGCCATTTTTTTGGACGGTTAGAAGACGTTCTCGTTCTTTGCGGACGCTAACAGAATTACACTTAATCCCGTTCTCCATATTGACGCGAAGTTGTGTGGTGGTGGTGCTGGTCAGCCAGGGGTGGTTGACTGCATCTGCTGCGGTGATTCGCTGTTGCGGATTGAGAGTGAGTAAAGTTGAGAGGAAACTCCAGGCCTCGGGTCCACCACTGGCTGCGGTCTTTTGTTGCAGCCATTCGCTGCCATGGCCACTGGCGCCAAAGAGGTGCGCCGGAATGGCGTTATAGAGCGGTAGCTGGGTGCAACCCGGCCAATCCTTTTCTTGCGGCACGCCCAACTTGCCAAACAACTGCTCAATCATAGCCTCCTCTGTACTACCATTGAATAACGGCTTGGATGTTAACATTTCATACACCAAACATCCAGCACTCCACATGTCAGCAGCCGCTGTATATTCACGCGCACCTAATAACAACTCCGGAGACCGATACCACAATGTCACCACACGGTTAGTCAATCGCGGATCACGCTCACATGCCGGATCCATCGGCAACGCCAATACGTCGTCCAAACATACACCAACGCGAGGCGGTGACGCCCGTCTAGCCAAACCAAAATCCGCTAACTTCACTCGACCGCTCCAATCCAGTAATATATTCGCGCTCTTCACGTCACGGTGTAACACTCCCTGAGCATGACAATGCGCCAATGCTTGCAACATACCTCTGGCTATAAATTTCACCTCACTCGCCGACAGACATTGCGAAACCTCCTCTCGTGATCGGATGTACGCGTTCAAGTCAAATGGCGCAAACTCAAATGCCAACCACACGCTCGCTCGCACCGCCTGACTGTCCTCCACGCGCGGATCAAAAGTGCGCCTACACTCCTCGTCAGACAACGGATAAGGCACCGTGCTGTCACCGTACCGAATCGGCAACGTAAACAACACACCGTAAAATGAAACGATGTTCGGGTGATCCGCCAACATCCTCAACAACGATATCTCGCGAAGACATGCTTTATTGAACTAAAGAAAAAGAAAGATGCGCGATGAACATGATGCGCGTCATCAAAACTTATCAAGTGAGCGACGACCGAGGAAGCATGTTTGTTGATTAAGGAAGCATGCACAGTGATCAAAGAAGAGTGAGCCGTGAATAATGCCACCACTGTGCTCACTTTCCTCCAAATTCCGCTCTCAGAAATCGTGTGCACACACTTACCCCGTCTCTATCTTCACCATAATAATACTTTTTAAGCGCTATGAATCTATCATGCTTCAGATCCTGAGCAAGCCACACTTCCCCGAACGCGCCGCGACCCACTAGGCGCACCAGAATGATATCTGACATGGTTATATAGTTGGCCTGCTGGCTCATGACTCTAGAATAAAGAGATTCCGTTGAATCCTCCTCGCCCTTCATCGCCTCGTCGGCCCTAATGGCTTCTTCAATCCTAAGGGCTTCGTCATTGTCGCCTAACATCCCGGGCGACTTGCCGGCAGGCGATTTGTCGGCACATGGCTTGTCTATAGAAGGTCCGTTGCGCGCAGTCAAGTCAGGTGAAGGTTTAGTCAGGGGAGCGGATATCGGCGGCTGTTCCCCTTGAATCGATGGGTCATCGTTCATTACTTCGTCCTTGACGTCCTTGAGGTTTTCGTTTTTCAGCATTTCATCTTTCAGCCTTTTCTCATTCGTCGGCTTCTCGCCCTTAAACTTATCCGTTTTCAATTCCCCTGCATTCACCACATCATTGTCACTTGTCGGCACAGTTAAATAGACTCCATAACCACTGCCCAGGATGCAGTCCATTAATTAGCAGAAAATGGTGATACGTGCCCTGGATAAGAGTTTAGGTGAGAATTTGTGCTTAAGCCGTGCCACTGACCTTACCACTAGTCATTTCTCCACACCCCCGGCTTGGCGATGCCATGAGCCAAACTTATTTCCGACCTACCACACCCCAACCAGCCACCACAAGAACTGATGCGCTGTAACCCTGCCGTGCATTATAACCACATCCTGCATTACAACCATCACGACCCTACTCTCCTATTGTAGATGAGATCATTGACAGCACCCGAAATAACCGAACCACAGATGGATATCGGTCTCGAGGTGGTGGACCCGATCGTAGAGTCATGAAGGAAATGAAGAAGTCCTTCAGGCCCCGGGGTAGTCATCCCTGGTCGACTTCGCCCCCTGTTCCCCGTGGGGTCAACCGTAAGTACCCGAGTTACATGTATGCGTTCCCAAACTGTTTGTGCGTTCCCAACGGTGTGTGTTTAGTACCCCACGTTGTGGATTTTGTAACCCAAGTGGGGGCAGTATCTGCACTGACGTTATTTTTCTCAGGGGGATACAAGGTCTCTATAACCGGGTTGGAATACTCTGTGTTGCGTGAAGATTTGACGGAGATGTTTTCGTCGGCAGGCGAAGTACGCAAGGTCTGGATCGACTACGACCGCACGGATCGGTCCCTTGGCACCGGCGGAGTGATATTCAATGATTACGAAGACGCCCGGGCGGCCGTGGATAGATTTTCGGGTCTGGAGTTGGATGGCAGCGTTATCACGTTGACTTTAGAAAGTCCGCCTTCACGAAGACTGCAAAATCGACGAAGGGAGGACTATAGCCTTCGAGACCGTAGTCCATCCGGACGAACCCGGAGTCCAGGTCGAGCACGTAGCCCCGGTCGGAGGTCCGGGTCCCCGTTCAGTAAACCTAGATATGTGGTTCCACGCAGAAGTCAAAGTCCCTTCATAAACCCTGTCCGACGGAGCAACAGTCCCTTACGAGGCAACAGTCCCCTGCGAGGGAGAAGTCCAATCCCTCGCGCGAGGAGCCCACCGGAATGGAGGAGCCGGCCTTTCGAAGACGTGGACCGAAGCCGCAGCCCAGGGGAGTGGAGGCGGCCACGGTCGAGGAGCCCCCGCAGAAGGAGTCCTGACCGCAGGAGGAGATACAATCCTCCATACTTGCGCGAGAGTGACTCTCCTTCCTCGCGGTACTGGAGAGGAGGAGGGGGAGGGAGGTTCAATTAACTCGCCCGTAGTCTTTTCGGGCGGTCGGGTTCATGCGTTAGGAACAATGATTGCGTTATAGTGAGCTAAAAAAATATTTATCGTTTATCCAGCCCCCCCAGTCCAACATACGTTAGTGGCCAAGCATACACACTCCATGAGACAGACTCCATGAGTGTGGCGCTCTTGTGAAGGCACAGGGCCAATGGTGTGCGCAGAATTGTGTGTGCACACGTGTGTGCGAACGGGAGGTTGTGCGTGCGCGCGCGTGTGAGAAATGTAGGTGGTGTATCGTACGTGTGGCATATTTGTGTTTGAGGTAGCACAGTCGCATGGTATTGCGGGGGGAGCCTTCACTGTATTTGATGACGCCATTCTCTGTGTACACTTCTATATCGCAGCCGTAACATTGGTTAGCCGCGCGAATTTCGATTTCGCCTCCGAAGACACTCCCCTGCTCAATTTGGCTGCAGAACTCATCCAAAGGGGTTTCGAGAAACATGGAATACTCTTCTCGATTCAGACGGATGAAGGCTGCCAGCTCCATACGCACATCGTTCGCCGTGTGCATAACCGGCCTCGTGATTGTGGCCGGATCGCGGCAGTGTTTGACTGCGTTGAGTTGGTGAGCGATTGCGTGGAAGAGACAACTGCCGTCGGCTTTGATCTCTACCACCTCCGCGCCCGGTGGCAAGTAGCCATTCAGCCGCTCCTCCTCCCGCCCTGAAAAGTCAGTCTCACCCAACTTATCCACAAGTGATTGTCGCTCCTCCAATTCCCGCTGGCGCCTCCGCTCCTTCTTCAACTCGGATTTGGAGATGCGCGGAGCCGCTTCCCCCCCTCGCCGTTCCTCGACCGACGGCGACTTTTCCGTCGCCGATTCTTCTGGCTGCTGCGGCCCGATCAGCGTCTTGAGCTTCTCTTCATATTCCGCTTCAATCTAAAAAATAGCTGTCTCACCGCCTAACCCGTGTTGACCGCCAAGCGGAACCGTCCAGCAGAACAGCACGTAACCGCCAAGCAAGTGTGGACCTGGAGATGAATCACACAGGGCGCAGTTGAGGGCGTATTGAGTGTTACAATTTTCCTTTTCCGCCGATCCTTTTCTGCTTCCAGTGCCGCCCGCATTTCGGCCTTGAGTGCCATGAGGGCACGTCTCCGGTCGGCGGCAGACATATGGTGTGGGGAGTGTCTCGGAATAAAAATTTTAAATGGCGGAGGAAGATGTCGTGGTGCCCACTTCGTCGGTAAGGAAGAACAAGCCTGAGGTTACCGTGATGAAGTTGCGCGCATGTATGCAGTGCAGCATGGTCTTAAGTGAAGACCAGTTCCTGCAACGAGGCTGCATCAACTGCGGAGACCATCATATGGATAACACGAGAGAGTCCGTCTGGGGGAGCACGACTCCCAACTTCAAGGGCATGGCTGTGATTCTACGGCCCGAAATATCTTGGGTCGCACGCTACAACGATATTTCAGGTGTTCCCGGTGCCTATGCCATCAACCACTAGTCCATTAACTACTAGTCCAAAGAAGTCGACCAAAGACTACCAAGCAAGGGTATGCCATAAAACACTACGAAGGGCTGCAGTGCCCGGGATTAGGCATAGGGTGGGTGATGACGACCGATAATGACGGCCGGTATGGCTTAATGGCGACCAGTATGGGGTAATGACAGGCGAGGGTGTCACGACGATAGAGAGTCGGAAAACTGGTAAAGACGTGTTATAATTATCGGGCAAGATGGAGTGGCTTGGAGGAAGAGCACTGAAGTATGAATCGGGCTGTATAAACGCCGGTTAGTATGATGAAGTATGATAGACGCGTGGACAAGTCGGTAAAGAAAAGGTTCTTCTGCGTTCTGTTCTGTGTGTGGAAAACGCATAACTGTTTGGAGTATGATGAAGGTAGTGATAGCTCTCGGGTCTATGCTGGTTAGTGGTGAGACCATGATGCGTTATTTACTGTCGGATCACGTGCGTCCTGAATTAACGATGTCGTCAGCGTTGGCACAAAGAATGGACCAGGAGCGTCTCGAGAATTTGTTGGCTGAGGCTCGTGGTGGTTTGGTGTTGGTACTGCCTACGGACGATGGCTGGCAGAAGTTCCCCGCCCTTTACAATGCGATCAATGACGACGGAGTGGCTGCCAACAAATTCCGGGCGGACCTGATGTTTGCAGCCGGTGGCGAAATGGATGTTGTCGGAGGTTTTGATGCCCTCCTCAACTACGCATATCAGAACGACGGTGTTGTGGATACCGCTTATGGCACGCCCATCAAAGTAGAGGAAGACGCACGCGTGTGTCTCGCAGAATATGACAGCACTTGGAGCCTACGAACCACCAAGTGCGCGCAACTCATCTTACCGCCACTTGTCTTTGATGATGGCTCACTCTACATGACATCTGATATAATTCTACCTGACGACCTTTGGAACGAGATTAACGTCTACATGGCCGATTCAGCTGGCTCCGCTCAGTAATCTTTTTTCCACTTGACATGGGCTCGTGACATTACTTGTGTGGACCTTTCCTTCTGGAGGGACCTTTCCTTCTGGAGGGGCATTTCTACCCCCCCCCCCCCCTCAGCCGGGCTCTTTTGGGGCTATCGCGAAACTTTGATGGTGATGATTCTTATATCTTTAAGAGGTTTGTCGTGAACATTTGTCCTCGATCGCTCAATGTCTTTGACAATACCTTCGCCTTTTGTAACCTTGCCGAAAACAGTGTGTTTATTATCCAGGAAGGGGCACGCAACGGTGGTAATAAAGAACTGAGACCCGGCTGTATTGGGTCCAGCGTTGGCCATGGAAACAACGTAGGGCTCATGTTTTAATTCATCGTGGAACTCATCCGGTAGTCCGCCCGGCCCCCATATGGATTCTCCACCCGTACCGTCACCCTCTGGGTCCCCTCCTTGGATCATGAAGTCAAGAATAACTCGATGGAAGACGGTTCCATCATAATATTTGCGCTGTCCCAAGACGGCAAAGTTTTCGACCGTTTTTGGACAACGAACAGGCTCAAGGGCTAAATGGATGTCGCCCGCAGTAGTATAGATAACAGCCTTAGTCGGGTCCCGTGTTAGTGTCTCAATATCCAATGGTTTCACTTTTGAATTCTCCACATTCTGCTGCCCCCGAGAACTGGCTACCAGCATCGGCTCTGCCACATCGCGGCCGTCCTTACCGTCAGTATTCCCGTAAACGCAAACCTTGTTCCGCTTACCCACCAATAAGAGGGGCTCAATGGAAATCGCCGTCCATGGTTTGATCGCCGAAGTAATTCCCGTGAGCCGTTGCTCTCTGGACTTGGTAAAGAAGGCCAGAGCCTCCACATCTCCCACACTCTCCTCTAGTCTCCCGATTTTCACCTGATTCAAAGTCTGCCGGATTTTAAACAAGCGCGCTAAGAGCTCCCCTCCCGGCGCCTCTCTCCCTCCTGATGGCTCTGCCGGTTCTCTCCCTCCTGCTCCACTGGTTCCGATGAGGGAAGGGCAATAGACGAATATTACATCACCAGTGTCGTCAAAGGTACAAATCAGTTTCAAGTCGACGGTAGCACTGGCAGCACTGATACCGTCAGCACGGCTATCGCCGCTATTGACACCGTCACCACCGTTAGTAGTAGCACTGTTAGTAGTAGCACCGTTAGTAGTAGCACCGTTAGTAGTAGCACCCCCATTATTTTTCATAGCACCACCTCCGGAGTCAGAATTGTGCTTAGCGGCTGCTTCAGTATCGGGTTCAGCGTGGGATTTGGTGTAGACTGGACCCTGGTATCCGATATCGGATTTGATATCGAGTAGTCTAAATTCATCGTAGATCTTGCCTTTTCTGACATTGTAGCTGACTATACTGTTACGATCGGTACAGATGAGAAAGGCTTTTCTATCCGGACTAGCAATGGCGTATTTCACTTTGGTAAACTTCTGTTGCATTATGTGATACAAATCAGTCTCGCATTTGGTTTCAAAAGAGACAGCCGGCTTATGTACTGAGCGAATCCCGTTGTTATCAAAGGACCAATATTCTATTCCACCATACTCATCAACAGATACGATAAACCCATCAAAGGCAAGTAGACTAACAATTGGATATCTATGTCTTGTCTTTAATAAATCATGTGTATGGTTGATGGGTTCGGAGACACCATTGTGTTTGCTGCCATTCAACATTAGCGATTTTACCTCAATAGCATGCACCTGACCGGTTACATCGCGATCGGCCAAGTATATATAATCGCTGGTTAATAGAGCGCCTCCATTTTCCGTAACTCGGAATGGTAATGATATACTGCACAACAAATCCAAATTCGAAATGTCCCAAACTTTCAGAATACAACCAGATGTTCCTGGTAATGTCCCATTGGGTACAGACTGAGCATTAGACCTGATGTTAGACATAGGATCAGGCACCTTTCGATTCGACTTCTCCGCTATTGTAATCATATTAATACCATGGACACACATGTTATTTACCGGCATTCTATGTTCTGCAGCTACCTTAACGAATTCAATATCTGCCTCTGTCCGCTTCCAAAATACTACAGAACCATTATCATGACTTGATATGACCATCTCTGCTTCAGAACAAACTCCCATATGAGTCAGGTTACTACTAAACATGTGCCCCGTTTTATACAATGCCGCCTTGGGCAAGTCTTGAACCAATCGCCCATACGATTTCACGCGATGGTCTAAAAGAACGGGAAGAGCTTTCGGGCATCAAGCCACGGGACCACGGGACTAAGTAGAAGAGGAATGTGTCGTTCTGTTCTTACAGTCATCCTTGCTGAGCACCAGCAGGTTCGCCTTTTTCGACGCCATTATGCGCGTGCATAAATATTCGACTGCCCCGACCATCCCTCCCCCACTGTTTTCCACTCTTCTCCTTGTTTCCACTCTTCTCCTTGTTTCCACTCTTCTCCTTGGTCTGCTATGTGCCGTTTGATATGGTAAAACATCCAAGCTCCCAGTCTTTCCCTCCCGGTCCCTCTCGTTCTCTGGGCCTTAAGAAGTTGTTTTGGGTGGTGGTACTTGTGTGGGTCATACACGTGGGTGGTGGTACTGTAGTTCGGAATGAGCGTAGTGTAGTCCACACACACACCCACGTGTATGACCCACACGTGTGCGAGCTGTGGCTCCACAGCGTGCGTATGGCGCTTTGCTTGGCTGGTGAGTGGGACGGTGCGTGCTGTGGACGTCGCGTGCTGTGGACGTCGCGGTGGAGAGGGCTTCCTGTGCGGCGGGCAAGGGTTAAAAAATTTGGGGAGGTCGGCCATGGAGGTAGAGAGCACGAAGCGTCAGTTAGAGGAGACGGAGGTGGGTGATGCGAAGCGTGTGCGGGTGGAGAAGTCGCGGGAGGGTGTCTTGGAGCAGTGCAAGAGACAGATAGAGTATTACCTGAGTGATGAGAATCTGCGATACGATGCGTTTTTCCAGAAGAGCATCAGGGAGTCTGAAGAGCAATGGTTGCCGCTTAGTGCCGTATTGAGCTGTAAGCGGATCCAGCAATTGGGTGTCTCCGCGGAGGACATTGCGGAGGCGTTGAAGGGCTCGCAGATGGTGGAGTTACAGCTGGAGGGAGTGGTACCAAAGGCGGTCCGTAGATCGGGCGGTCGTGAGTTGCCGACTTTGGAAGAGAGACCGGTGCGCAAGCAGGGCTTGAAGGAGAACCGGAGTGACGATCATCACACTGCTGGTTGTTTGTTAAAGATCGCCAATCTGCCGGAGGAAGCTGGGTGGGAGATGGTTAAGACGGAGTTAAGTAAGAGACTACCGGCTCCGAGGGAAAAGCCGCAGACGGAAGAGGAGAAGGCATCCGGGCGGAAGCCATACATCGAATACCCCATCAAGTTCGTCAGTCAGCCCGATTCTACGGGTACCTGCTACGCGCACGTAGGCCCGTTCGATCGAGACCAAGAGGTTATAAAGACGTGGGAACCGATGCAAATCAACGGCCAGTCAGTTCCCGTAAAACTCATTACTGAGTTCTCTGAAGCCATGAACTTCATCCGCTCCATGCCGCCAGTGCTCCAGAAACGAAGAGAACGTGATATCGCCAGGAAACGCGCTGAAGTTAATAGCAAACCCATCCTCCTGGGCGGCGCAGAATTCGCCTCTATTGACCACCTCAAAAAATGTCTGAAAGAAGTCATGATTGCTTCAGCACCAGGCAAATCCGTTAATAAAAAAACAGCACTCGTTCTCGAAGGCCTCCTCAAGTACCACCCAAGTGGATCGAAGAAACTGGAGAACTACGCAGGCTTCAAAATCGACGTTTCCGATAAGGCCACCAAATCTGGCGAAACTACTCGGTGTTTTTTCGTCCTCAAAAGTGACGGTACCGCCGAAGACTTCTCCCTGCAAAAATGCTACCTAGAATTAACTAAAAACCCTCCGTTTGTTGATGGTGGTAAGACCGAAGATAGTGGCAAGACCGAAGATAGTGGCAAGATCGAAGATAGTGGCAAGGCCGAAGATGGTGGTAAGGCCGAAGATAGTGGTAAGGCCGAAGATGGTGGTAAGATCGAAGATAGTGGTAAGGCCGAAGAAGCCCCAGGCTCCGAAGATGCCACTGCTCCAGGCTCCGAAGCTCCTGGCTCGGAACCTGTTGCTAATGCAGCCGAGTAGACAATTTTTTTCAATGACCCACGCGCACTCCCTTGAGCAAACAAACCACAACACCCTTCGGTCTGTCGTCGGTCCGTCATCGAGCTCTGGTTTTTCGATGATGGTTTCTGCATTTCTATGGATGGTTCAATATGAGCGTGCTTTGACCTTCTTGTGTGTCTTGTTCTTAATTGTTCTATTGTATAAGATCGTTCGGGCTTCAAGCCGGCTGCGTACGTACGTCATAGTTAGGTTAGTAGAAAAGATAAGCCAACGTGTGTTCGGTGGAGTCCATATTCAATACGATTCTCAGTCATCATGTCTGAATCTGTGCTTGAGACTTCATGGGGGTAGGAGTATTACCTGCCTACTGACGAATGTCAGTCTTGTTACCTTCCCTGTGTGCATCCGAGCAAGCAGCATCAAGCTGTGGGTCGCCTTCGGTGTGGGGGATCTTTACGGCAATCGGAAAAGGCGCAAACTGGCAAGAGGAGGAGGAGGAGGAGGAGGAGGAGGAACGGCCGTAGGTGTATCTCAGTCACTAGGCGGATCCCAGTCGGTGGGCGGATCCCAGTCGATGGGCGGATCCCAGTCGGTGGGCGGATCCCAGCTGGTGGGCGGATCCCGGTCACGTAGGGGGATCCCAGCTGGTGGGCGGATCCCAGTCGGTGGGCGGATCTCAGGTAATAGGGTTTTCTCGAGGTCAGGATGAAACAGAGAAGAGGGCACTGTCTCCGGCGTTGGAAGTGGTTGGCTGCGCTGAAGCCAATGGGAATCAGTGGCGTTGCTGGCGTTGCGTCATCTAGCCGTTGAGGTCGTAGCTGGAATTACGGTATAGACTTGGAGTATGAACCTGA